GTGGCACTTTTAGGTCGTAATTCCAATTCCAAGAGGCTCTTGGGTTATGTGGCAACTCTGAAAGATAATTTTGGATTTATTGAAACAGCCAATCATGATAAGGAAATCTTTTTCCATTACAGTGAATTCTCTGGTGATGTTGATAGCCTGGAACTGGGGGACATGGTTGAGTACAGCTTGTCCAAAGGCAAAGGCAACAAAGTCAGCGCTGAAAAAGTAAACAAAACTCACTCAGTGAATGGTCTTACTGAGGAAGCTGATCCCACCATCTACTCTGGTAAAGTCATTCGTCCTTTGAGGAATGTTGATCCAACACAGACTGAGTATCAAGGAATGATTGCGATTGTGGAAGAGGGGGATATGAAAGGTGAGGTGTATCCATTTGGCATAGTTGGAATGGCCAACAAAGGGGATTGCCTGCAGAAAGGGGAGAGTGTTAAGTTCCAGTTGTGTGTCCTGGGCCAAAATGCACAGACTGTGGCCTATAACATCACACTCCTGCGTAGGGCCACAGTGAAGTGTGTGAAAGATCAGTTTGGCTTCATTAACTCTGAAGTAGGAGATAGCAAGAAGCTCGTTTTCCATGTGAAAGAAGTTCAGGATGGCATTGAGCTACAGGCAGGAGACGAGGTGGAGTTCTCAGTAATTCTTAACCAGTGCACTGGCAAGTGCAGTGCCTATAATGTTTGGCGAGTCTGCGAGGGCCCCAAGGCTGTTGCAGCCCCTTGACCTGATAGGTTGGTCAATCGCTTGAAGAACATCACTGTGGATGATGCCAGTGCTCCTCACCTAATGGTTCTTCGTCAGCCAAGGGGATCAGATAACTCAGTGGGATTTGGTGCAGAAAGAAAGATCTGTCAAGCTGGTGTCGTTGACTGACTACATCCACAAAGCACATCCTTAATCCACTATGATCAAGCTGGCGGGATTCTGGTGAAGGGTTCTGAATATCTCCTTCTTCATCCCTCCCAAAATCTGGAAAACTTATTCTATTGAGCTATTACACCAGTTTTAACACCTTCCTTGTGTTATGTTTAAAAAAATAAATAAATTTAAGAAACCATTTTAAAAAAAAAAGTGGAGCTGGGAGGAATGTGAAGTAATTGTTAATGAGTATGAGGTTTCTTTTGGAGGTCATGAAAATGTTCAGGAAATAGTGTGATATTTGCCCAAGCTTTCCTCTAACTTGTGGTCCACTCCCCACAGCCTCCAGAGGCTTCAGAGTTTTGTGGGAGTTACATATCAATTTTAAAAGTGGAAAAATAGTTTCAGTTGATTAATTTTGTTTTCTGGAAATATATTACTCACAAATTATGATGGCTTTGTTTTCTCCTAGTTTAATGCCTTATACTATTTTTCTTGTAATAGCATCAGCTACTATGTCCAGAAAATATTAAATAATTTTTCATGATGTTAATAGTGGGCTTGTCTTTCTTCTGGTCCTTAAAGAAATGCTTTCTCAATAAGCATGTTGCTGGCTTTTGAGGTTGGTGTGACTGTGCCTGCATACACACAAACACATATATCTTTATCACATAAGAAAAACATTCCTGAAATGAATCCCACTTGGTTGTGCTGTATATTTACTTAAAAAATATTCTAGCATTTTGCAATTCTCATATATTTAGGAAGATTAGCATTTAATTATCTTCCATAAAATGAATAGCAGTCGCAGCATTGTTTGTAATGGCCTCAAACTGGAAATGACCTAGTTGTCTATCAGTGATGATCTGTTTGAAGAAAGTGTAGTAGAGACAACGTAATTGAATACAATGTAGACCTTAAAAGAATAAGATTTATATAAACTGCTATCAGAAAATATCTAAGAGTGTATGAAAAACATTGGGGTGTGAAAATTAGTATTTTAATAAGATTCTATTTATCAAACTGCTGATAGTAACACTAGTGATAACACATTTATTATTGTGACTGTGTGCGTAGATTTCTGGAGAGATATGGTTAGCAGTGGTTATTTCAGAGCAGTGCTCATTGAGTGGCCTTTTTACTCTATACTTGCAATGTTTGAAGTTTGTTTTCATAATGTAATAGAAAAGTTAATTTTTAGAAAAAAGAGGTAAACAAACAATTGTAATGTTGATAAAGAGGGGAAAAAAGCATGTGCCTGTTCCTAGATCATTTCCAGACAGCTCTGGTGTTGCTTATTCATTAAAGGTTTTCCAAATGATTTAAAAAACTCTGATTCTACTCATATGCTGAATCTAAGTGACAGATGAGGCATCTGGAAGCCCACTTACTAAAAGAGGATTGCGAGTTTGAGTCCAGTCTGGGCAATTTAGCTTGGTGAGACCTTGACTCAAAGTAAAAGGACTGGGGATGCAGCTCAGTATGAAGGCCCTGGAAAGGATGGTATTTTCATCTTGTAATACTGAGAAGTGTGGACTTTACCCTAAAGACCGTATGAAACTACTAAATAGGTTTTAGCTGGGAAGCGGTGATTAAGGTGTGATCTGTGTCATCCCTCTGGCTGTAGTGGGGATCATGAGCTGGAACAGCCTCAGACCAGAGCCCTGAAGTCCAGTTCAAAGGCTGTCAGAGCCTCTTAGTTCTAAGAAAATGATGAGGGGTGAAATTTAGGAAATGGTTTGGGAGAAGGCTGAATATACAACCAATGTGGGGGAAAACAAAAGAAAACAACCAATGTGGGGCTGTTTCATGGGAGGTCAAATTGATGGGCCCTGACAAACTAAGGGATATAGAGGGAGGAGCAGAAGTAAAATGACAATAATTGTCTTTTTTATGGGTGGGCGCTGAAATGGTCATTGGGACAAGTTGGTTTTGGGGGAAAATGGGTTCACATTTCCACATAGTTTGAGGTCCGTGGAACATCCTGGACATGTATGCAGTACTTGGCATTTTTATATACAAATCCAAGCTCATAGCAGGCTCTCAAGTTTGTAAGAAAAGAATGAAAGGAAAGTAGACGTATAGAGTGAGATGGAAAAGAAGTCCAAGAGCTCAGGAGACAGATCTAGGTTTGGGATTTAAATTTCATTGTCCTACTTTTCAACGGCACATCCTACTGTAGCAGCCCTTGGTTCCCTTTATAAAGCTTTCATTGGTCTATCAGTAATTTTGCCTAAGTTTTAGTAGGTGAACTGAATGTAACGACACAGGCCAAAGTTGGTTTTCTTGTTCTCTGGAGTTTCTTTTTTGGATTTTTTTTGTGCTTGTTTTGAGTCTTTGTCGCTGTTTTGGTTTTTTGGCCCTTTTCACTTTTCTGGTTGTTCGTATCAATGTGCATTCGGTATGTTTTCTTTTTTTGATTTTCTTTTTTTCCTGTTTTTTTGGTGTTCTGTTGTTTTGCGATTGGAGTTCTTTGTTTTTTTTGCTTTGTTGGTTCGTATTTGGTTCTTTCTTTCTTTCTTTCTTTTGTTGTTTTTTTTTTTTGTGCTCTTGTGTTCGGTTTATTTCTGCGGTTTTTTTTCCTTATATGGTCTTTTTGATATCTTTGTCGGCTTTTGGTTTTTTTTTGTTGTTTTTGTTTTCATTTACTGTACTGTATTTTGTTGTTTAGTGTTTGGTATATTTGGTGTGTTTCTTGGATTTTTCTCTTTAGATTCTGTTTTTATGTGGCCGTGGTTTTAGTTTAGTTTTTTTGTTTCCTGTCTTTCTTGTTTATATTTCTTTGTTTTGTTTCTTTTTTCTGGCTCCTGTTCCCTTGGTTCTGTTGTTTAGGTGTGTGGTTCGTGTGCCTGCTTTTCTCGTTCCTGGTTTTGGGTTGAATCTTTTTAGTTTTTGACCATTTTGTGTTTTGTTTGGTGTTATTTTTCCTTGATGGCTTTTGTTATGTTGATCTAGCGGTGGTGTATTCCTCTGTTCTTTAGTGTTTTCATTTTTCATGTTTGTTGGCTTTTGTTAAACTTTTTTTTTGCTTCTATTGTGATGATTCTTTGTTTTTTTTGTTGTGTCTCTTATTTTATTGTATTAAGTTTCTTGTTTTTTTTATGTTTTACTATGTGTGTTTTCGTTGGATGATTTCTATTTGTTCCTTGAGTATGGTCTTTTTGATTTTTTTCTGCCTTTTTTTTTTGTTTCTCTTTCTGTGGTTTTTTGTTTCTCTTTTCATTTGTGAGCTTGTCCTCTAGTTCTCTTTTTGAGTTTTTTGTTTCTGTGTTTTTGGGGTCCAGGTGTTGTTTTCTTCCTTGGGTGGCTTTGGGAGTATTGTTTCCCTTTGTTTTTGGTTGGCGTGTTTTACCTGTTGTGTTCATGGTTCGTCTGTAGTTCTCTTGTAGACTTGGGCTGTGCTGTCATCAGGACCCGGATTTTCTTTGTTGGTTTTTTTTTGGTTCCTTTTTTTATTTTCTTTGTTGTTCTTGGGTTTTTTATGTTTTTTCTTTTTTTTTTGTTCCAATTTGGTGGTTCATGTTTTTCTATATCTCTTTCCATTTCTTCTCTGTTTTGCCTTTTCTTGGCTTCTCTGTTCTCTACGTCTTTCTTGTTTCTCCTTTTGCTTATTTTCTTTTTTTTGCCAATTCAGGTTTTTTTTTGTTTTGGGGTTGGGGGTGTTTTTTGATCTCCGTGTTCTCACGTGTCTTTTACGAATAGTTATTTCTTCTTGCTGTTTTGATACTTAACTGTCATATGAGATTCTGTATTACACAAAAGGCAAAATGATTTTTGACACAAGTTTTTCTATAAAAGAGAACACATATAAATGCTTCCCTAACTTCAACAGTGAAAGTTATTGTTATCTCTAGTGTTTACTAGGTTGCTTGTGACCCCAAACAGTAAAGGTAAAATATGAGATTTTTACGTTCACTAAAATCTAAAATAGTATGCTAGGAAAATAAAGATACAGTAAACAATGATAAAAGGAGGCTGCAACTCACCAAGAAGCATTACATAAATGACCCAACTATCCTTGGTGGCAGAAAGCAACTTAGCCAGAATACATACTTGTGCTACTGGAGAGGAGATAAACTGAGCCACTTTACCTTTTGGCCAAATTAAAATGCTATTTTTCAATCCTGTTTTGCTTGAAACAAAACAATGAATATAGGTTAAGATCAATTTTCCTCCTGTTTCTGGATCTGAATTTGCAGCTAATTATAGGGCATGGCCTGTCTGTCAACTCCCCTGTACATATACACACACATACAGACATATATATATAAAACTACACAGTAACTAAGGTATTATTTATACAATCATTAAAAGATGTTCTTTGAACATATTAGCAAATGCTATAACTTTTAATTAAATTTTCCTTAAATAACCAAGCACTGAAAACCTAATAAAAATATTATCTTAAAATGGCTGACGTTCTTTTCCCCTTAAATAGTCTAAGCCAGAACAGGTCTTTTGTAGATGTGCTTATTTTTATTCCAAAGGACATGTGATTGATTCCCTGTCAATTTTATTTCCAAACAGAAATCCCTATATAAACAGTCAGTCTATATTAAATTTGTGATGGTGTTAAGTCTTCTAAACCTCTTTTACAAATAAAAAAAGGGAAGATGTAAAATAATGGAATTTGCTTGGTGAATATTAATTGCGAAATTTCTTCTTCTTTCTGAACTTTTTTCCTGCTGCATTTGCTGCTTTTTCAGCCATGATCTCTGAGTACTTCCTTCGGTTATATCTGAAAAGAAAAATCAAACCTTTAGGTCTGTATAAGACATCAGACATTAGAAATTAGGATGTTCTAATTCTCAAAAATGTTTGCATGTTCACATCACATATATACTAATCTACCACTGTGTGACAGGAGCCATTCTAGTTGAGGATACAGCACAGAACATGCCAGCTACAGTCTTCCCACACAAAGCTTGCAATTTAAAGACCCATGTACTATATCCTGTATCAGGCAGTGTTAAATATGGGATGTAAGTGTGGGATAATAAGGACAAAGCAAAACTAAGTTTGCACTTACCTGAAAACACATAATATGACTTCTATTTCTTAGAACCTTAGAAAACATTACAGACCAATGGTTTGCAAAGTATGTGGGCAAGACCCTTGGAAGAGATCTGTTACATAAAAACTATTTCCACAAGAATACTAATAAGGGAGTAATGGCCCTTTTCACCTTCATTCTCTCAAGAGTACAGTGGAGTTTCCCAAAGGCTACATGATGTGTATTATCTGCAAAAAGAGACGTTGAGTCTCTAATTCTGTTTAATTATGCCAGACGTTAAAAAGATTTGCACTTTTAGTTTCATGAAAATGTACATTCATGTTAATATGTAGATTATTTAAAAATGACAATATTTTATCAATGTAAAATTTTAAGTGCATATTTTAAAGAAAAATACACATACTATAAAATGAAATGTAATTCCATTACCTTCTGAACTCAGAATCAGCCAGCAGTTCTTCCACAATAGTCCTTTTCCTTTGCTTCTTGGGAATTCGTGAATGGTAGAAATCAGCTGGATTGTCAACAACAGTTCCAATCTACAAATGATTGAAATAAGTCATGAAATACCTGAATCCAAGTTGCTTCTCTATTTCAGTGTAGCTCTAATAAATTATATTTACAGAAAGGAATGGAAAATACTTTTGTTACACCAGTATTAAAATTAGTCTTGCCTTTTTAATAAAAAACAAATCACTTATTAGCACACTGGTCTAACAATATTTCATTAGTTTATAGTAGACCCAAAAGTTATTTTTCATAATTCAGTGTTAAACAGTTCAGTTAAATTCATGATAAGTAGTGAAAAGAAAGGAGAGAAGAATTAATGTAAACTCTTTTTAGTTTTCCAATCCAATGAAATACAGTACATGTAAGTTCTGTTACATACTTATTTGATCTCCTAGGTATCCTAAATACTGCCAGCTTAGAACTTATTTTTTCTCCTTTTTTTTGGTACCGGGGATCGAACTTGAGTCCTTGCACTTGTGAGGCAGGCGGCGGAACCACTGAGCTAAATGCCTGGCCCAGAACTTACTTTTTAACTGCTCTCCATTTGTTCCATTCAACCAACTAAAGTACACAGAGTGCCAACTGTACACCAGGCAGTGTGCTACGTGTTAGGGAAACAAAGAGTAAAAATATCTAGTCCCTAAAGTGAGTCTTAAGGAAGATACAAACAAGAATTATTAAAAAATTAAAGGCTAACATAATATGTACCAAACAAAATGCTATAAATGCTCTAAAGACTGAGTGACCAATTCTACCTAAAAGAGGTAAAGATCTGACCGATCACATTTTAGCTGGGATGTGTACAGGTTAAATTTCAAGCAAACAAGGAAGAGTCAAGCACATGTAAAGTCAAAGAATGCAAAGGCTGGCATACGCATGTTCTGAAAAAGGGACTGAGCTTAAGAAGGCTATGTGACAAATGAAGTCGGTGAACTGGTTTGGTTGAAAATTTTGAAGGGTCAAATGAAGGGGTACAGCTACCATGTAGGTCATAAACAATTATTAAAGTCTCTGAGTAGAGGTACTATATAGCCTGAACAGAGTTTTAGAAAAATATGTAGCTGGCTACAATATGGAAGATGGACTAGAAAGGAAAGTAAACTTGCAGACCGAAGACTAGTGGAGTAATCCAGGTAAGTGACAAAAAAGGTAGTCAAGAATAATGAAAACTTGGAGGATTAATCAACTGAATTTTCATGTGAAAATATCCTGAGGTATAACTATATAATTTTTAGAATTTTCCTAGGGATGCCCCTCCACCTTGAAAAGAGAAAAGTATCAGTACAAATGACTCTCGCTTTTCCCCCTCCATTCTACATGGACGGATGCTCTGGCTTGGCCTATATTTTCCTTTTATGGGTACTAAGGTTTGAATTCAGGGCCTCAATGCAAGCTCCGCAAGCACTCTACTGTGCAGCTACTATTCATATATTTATATACTGGCCCTTAAAGTTTTATTAAGTCCTAGCAAGCTGACTTGGAAATGCAGTTACAGTACAATTTTTAATAGTACCCCATTAAAAGCTGGTGGCTTTTTGAATTATGTTCATCATTACACAGCCTAAGTAGATGTGGTCCTTATGTTTGGTGTGCACATTTTAAGTATGTGTCTATTTTAAAAGTAAACAAAGATTTCTATACCTGGAAGTACTTAGGAAAGCCATCTCGGTCATTTTTCTTGTAAAATCTTTTTGGGTCCATGCTTGCTCTCATCTTCAGAGCTTTGAGATCATTTTTAAGTTCATCAGTCAATTCTGGAGCTTTCATTCCAAACCAACCATCACCTGCA